GGCGGCCCGGGGCGGGGCTGGGGAGGCCGGGGCGGCCCCGGACTGGGGGGCCCGAGGGGTGCAAGCAGGGCTCCTGGTGGAAAGGGAAAGGCCCCGGCTTTCTGAGTTCTTCCCGAAGGTGGGGTACATTGGAACATGACCCCGCCAGAAGCCTCAGGCTCCAAGGCTACAGGTATATGGGTATCCCTCTTCCTCCACTGTCATCTGAGAATTAGACAAGTCCCAAGGAGCCAGGGCCACGGGGTCCCCACACTGTCCCACGCAAGCAGCCAAGAGGAGGGCTGGATACCCAGCTAGGCCCAACCAGGAGGCAAGGTCCCCATCTTTCCCCAAAGACCTAAGTCAAAGCCTAAGATACCAGGCCAAGAGGTGGGTGTGAGCGGAAAGGAGTGAGAAAACCTCCTGCCATCTGCAGCCCAAGCCACTCTAGGGATTGTCCAGGTGGGCCCCGGGTCACTCAGAAGTTGAGGAGGGAGGACAGGGTGTGGGCTGTGGCTTCTCTGAGCTGTGAGGGGAAGACAGGCTGATGGGGCTGTCAGGCCTGCTGGGCAGGAGCCACCCAGTGCCTCTGATTCAGAAGGTTTTGGGGGCAGTGAGGATGACACAAGCTAGTGGCATAGCCCACTGGGAAGAGATTCTGTAAGAGGACAGACGTTTTACCTGCTCAGGTTTCCCCCATGGGCAACATTTGACAGAATGTCCCCAACCCCTCTTCGTGCTGCTTCTGGTTTCTTTTTCACAGGCTCTTCCATCTGAAATGTGTTTTACTAAGTACAGGGTGAGTAGAGGCAGGTGACAGATAGGGATATTTCCTGGGCCTGAGATATGTATGCAATGTCAGTGATAGGGCAGGATACCCCAGGGTCCAGTTCTCAGGCATAGAACCTGCCACCCTCAACCCACACGGCCCAGCCAGGAGCCACATCTGCCCCATTTGTCTGATCGCATGGCCTTTCTGAGACCGGAAAGAAGCAGGAGAGCGGCATGGCTGGCAGATGGGCACATGTCGGTGGGGGTGGACTTTCAGCTTGAGGGAGTGGGTTAGGGATGGCTGGCGGGTAGATTCTGGGGTGGAGGTGCTGGATGGGGTAGGCAGAGCGGGTGAGGGGCAGCTACCTCTGCTGAAGATGGGACTCTCGTAGGGGATCTTGTTGCGAGTCTCAAGACTAGAGCAGTTCCAGCGCTGGTCCCGGAACTGGTGTTGGCACTCATGGATGGCGATCTGGATGCCCTGGATGGCTGAGGCGGCCACATCAGGGTGACGCACGCACACCTCCATCTGCCGCCGGCTCAGGCCGGGCAATGTCAGACACACCGTATTGGCGTTGAGCACGGGCTCTGGAGGGAGGCGGAGGCCCAGGATGTCGTTGGGTGCCGACCTGCAGGCATGTGGGGCAGGGTGGGTAAGTGTTTTGGGGGGCCAGGAGAGCCCATCAAACAACACACATGCTGTCCCCAAAGGCCATGATCATCACTCTGTTCCAATCCCTGCTTCTGATTGTTGGGCCCATTAGTACACCCGTAACATTTTCTTTTCCTGACCTCCTCACCATCATCCCCTCCAACACAACCACCCAGCTGCACACTCGCACAAGCAAACACGTGCAAGTGCACACATTACACACTAGGCCTGAGCACCCAGTATGTCCTAAGTATGTTACCAGGCATAGATGCCCGCATACACAGGGTCTCCCAGGAGCCCACTCCCAAAGGCATGTTTCAGACAGGTCACATTCAACACCCACACACTTCACACATTGTGGTGGATACACAGACCCAGGAACACTATATTAGACATAATTACAGACACACGCACACAATCAGAGACACTCACATTTACACCCATGTTCATCTTACACATTGACCCTTGAGCTCTCGCATTCACACACGTACTCAAGCACACACAAACTGCTGTTTACTAACACTGCTCGCTGGGCTCACAATCACACGAACACACACGCACACAGCCCTTCTAGCTGCAGTCTCTCACTGCTCCTACCTGGGCTATCCCCTTCCCGCTCCCCAACCCATGCCCCTGCCCCTGTCCCTACCCCTGCGGACAGGGGCAGGGGGCACCTGTAAGGTGGAACAAGGCAGTTTGAGTTTACTCCAGGAGTGGAGTTGGGGGTGCATTCCCTCAGCACCGCAGGGACTCCAGGCCGGCACTTGCTTCCCCCCTCAGTCACCTCCCCTCCTAGTTGCCATCACTCTCCTGGGCACTGCCCTGTCTCCCTGGACTGCTCATCTTCTGTCACCAGTCCAACCCCCTCCTATAAACGAACGCACTGTCTTTCGTTTGGGCACCATCACTTTCCTGTGACCCTGTCCCTCCCTCTTCCCAGGGTCCCCTGCCCCAGAGGCCCTGGGGGTCCCTGTTCTCCAAGAGGGCGGAGCATGAGGTGAGGGCTCACCTGGGCACGGCGGCAGCCAGCAGCAGTAGGAAGAACAGGAGCGCCCACAGCGGGGGCCGCGGCTGGGGCCGGGGTCGGAGCCGCAGCCAGGGGCGAGGGTGGGCGCTGCCCATGGCGCGCGGGCCGTGACGGGCCAGGAGTGGGGGGCTCACAGCCCGGTGGGACTGGCGAGCCAGGGACGGCGGCGCATGGTCGGCGGGGGTCGGGGAGGCTGCGACACACAGCTCCGACTTGGGTCACGGCTCCCGGAGCAGACGGTGCCCGCCTCCCCGCTCCATGGGGCAGTGCCCCCGGGCACCGCCCTCGGGGGGGGTGGGGAGCGGGCAAACCGGGCACCTCCTGGCACAGGGGTCCGGGGAATTTCCCGAGGCCCCCCTGCGACAACTCCCGGTGCCTCTCGAGGGTAAGGGGGGCCCGGAGGTGCAGCGGGCTGGAGACGAGGGGCTGGGGTGCTGGGGAGCCCCCCAGCGCCGCGCCGTGAGCCTGCGCTTCCGAGGGCGTGCAAAACGG